AACCAGAAAAGCAAAAGGGATAGAAGTTACTTGTCAGAAAGGTAAAAAAGGCTACTCAGTTTTCATTCTCCATAAATGAGTGGGTTAAAATGCTTTTACAATTCTTCCTGCATCCCCTTACAATTCATTTCTATGGACAAGTTCAGTGTTCTGTAATTTTACTCATGAAACGGAGTCTCAAAATCAGCATCTAAACAACACTTTGTCCTAGAGACAATTTTGTCTGGGTCAGCAATTTTCAAATTTTGTATCAGTGTTCACACTGCCAGGATAATTTCTACATGCCTTCTGAACCTGTAGTGTGAGAGCCATCACATTGGTGGAAGGAAGGCACAGGCCCTGCAGGACATATCCTGTGAAGAAGGGCAAGGGTGGCTTAGAGCGCAACCAAAAGTGAAGTGAAATTAAAGGTATGAGAAAGTTCTTCAACTAAGAGAGACAAAATAAAATGTTAACAGATCCATGGAGGCTACAAGAGGAGAGGAAGCTATGGCAGAAAGAACTTGCTCAGCCTATTCTCAACAAAACACTGCTGGAGATACTCAACGTCTTCAGCTATCTGCTTTTAACTCCATGAGTCACCACCCCTCCAACCCAACACCTCCCCAGCAATACCCTCCACACCCTATTCTCTGTGCTTTAGGAACTCCAGAGATAGGAAAATGCCAACTGTTTCATCCATGTATGGCCTGCCCTGGAGTTCAAAACCCACACCCTTTCAAAACGTTTCAACTCATTCCTACTGCCTTGAATTTGCTGTCCTGATGCTGTCCTCATCTTGGCATCAGAAAGTCAGAAAAATCCAGAGGTGTCACAAGCAGGTTTTGCTCTAAAGACACCATGCCAGAACCCCTTGTCCAAGTGATTCAACCACCTGCTTTTCTTTGATCATGCCCAGTTTCATTGTTCAAAGACCTGCAAGGAATATGAGTCATGTTTGTGCGAGGATACCTGCTCACAGGTCTTTCATCCTCCCTGTAATTAAAATGACTTTAAAAAATAACTCTATAATTTACATACAAACCCTTATTTTAGGCCACTGCTCTTTGACCACATATTTCATTCCATAGACAAAGCCTCCAAATGAATTTGAGGCAGAAAGCTGCAATACACATTCACTGAAAAACACCAGTTCTCATTCAGGATTCTTTTGCTGTACAGGATGAAGCCCAGCTTCAAAGCCAACATCTAATCTTTGTGAGTTACCCAGTTATCACTAAGACTGCCTGCAAATCTTGTGAATGCTAGAAATCATGCTGCCTCTGAACACTTAGCAAGAGCAATTTATTCACCGACCTATAATTTTACGTGTAATACTGAACAACTTTTTCAAAGTTGCATCCCCAACTGCACAAACATAATCAGCTCACAAGGCTGCTGAAAGCAGCAGTTCTGCCATCTGTCTGCTTATTCCCACCTCACAATTGTGCAGACACAAATGTTTGTGAAGCCATGCAATGATCCAGCGAGAACCAAACTCTGTAACCAATTGGGGAAAAATATAAAATTATTGTTAGATCATTTCCTGATCTATACAACCATGCATGCTGGCACAAGCATGGGAATAAACAGAAATTACATTACTAATTTTAATGACAGTGCCACTTTCTGAAGTCTAAAAGTTCAGAAGTTGATGCAGCAACTTTTCACCAGGTCTAGCAACTAAATCTGAAGAACACATATGAATTTCAGAAAAAATTACATAATTTTACTTAGTTTGCAATTGTGTTGTGTTTAAAGTAAGAAGCAGGAGGAAAAAAGTAAATTGATTTACTGCTTACTAAGAAGAATCAAAGTGCTTACTGGAAAACAGTGCTGAAATCTTCACCCCTGCCTCAGTTTCCTCCAGTAATAAAACAAACAGTAGAACTAATCTGTTCAACAAATCATTCTACAACACAGATAAAAAAACCATAACACCAATGTAATATTGTTACAGAGACAGAAAAAATTCAACTCTCTCACAGCAATGAAAAAGTGAAACGGCACAAAGCTGATGTTGCAACCTATAGTGGTCTGGGATGGAGAACAGACACAGGACAATGCACAGCAAAATGGCTACTGAGAGCAGCAGTTGCTGAACAGTTGGTATCTACAAAAGGACAGACATGGATTTGCAAAAGACCTGGGTAAAGAAACTCACAGTGGAGTCTCCCTGCCCTCCTTTCATTATTGGTACTCTGATGAAATCACATAGGAGTTATGAAGAGCATATAGGGAAGACTTGCTGGGGTGGCAGGTTAAGTAGGAATCCACAGAGCTGGGTTGTCATGACAGCAGCTGAAAGTATGCAAGAGATGTATAGATCCTGGGTGTTAGAACAGCAAGGACTACAAATAAGATTATCAATACATTACATTTTTAAACACCAAGAAGCATACACTACATCTCATTAATGAAACACAGACTGCACAATAACTGTTTGCACTGGTGAAGGTGCACGAGGGTCCAGGACATACACGGAAAATCTGTACTCATTAAGTACTGAGAAAGCACAGGTTCTCACGAACTTGATAGTCATGCTATACATAAGAGGAAAAAAGTGACATGCACTCAGGTGGACCAACATAGTCGAGTCTCAGCTGGAGCTTGGAAACTCACCACATGAGCTCCATTTCATTTAAAAGCAAAGTAAAACAGCGGAAACTCAATTTCAACAACCCCTTACGTTAACTCTGCAATCAAACAGACTTGGATCATGCAGCAACTCGGTAACTCATCCCGGCTGAGAGGAAGGAACTTCCTGTCAGAGAGAAGTTACTCCCTGAAGTGTCTGAGCTTATCTGCAGCAGCATGCCCGGCTCCCCAGCACAGGCAGGCTGCAGGTGCTGACATGCTGGGCAAGACGGTCCTGGCAGGTCACTTCTGAAGGCAGTGTGGCACAAGGTTCAAGACAAACACTGAACAAGAGTGGCCAGGGATGGGAATAAAACAGGCCCTTGTTGGACACTCTTGCAAGGAAGCTTGGGAGGCAGAGGGAGGATGGGAGTAACAGGTGTTTATGTGATCTTTTCAAAACTCTGGGAATTTGATGTGGTGGATTACTCAGGGACTCGGGATGTCTAACACTGGGTGATCTTCAGGAGTCATTACAAAGCAAGGACTCTGAACGATATGAGACCAAAGTAGCGTTACAAGTGCCTGGCACAGGGAATGTACAGGTACACCAGTGTTCACAAATCCGGGACTCGCACACAGGGCTCTTACACTAGGTACTCACCATCCAGCACTGGTGAAGGAGAGGCCCGCCCTCATGCCGAACACACGGACAGCGAGAGGCTGCCTAGTGAAGGGGTCCCAGTAAGGACTACTGGTGAAACTGAGCGAGGAGGGAGCTACTCGGGGACTGCTGAACACAGCCCACGAGCGGGGAGAGGGCACTGCCCACAGAGCGCGGCGGCCGGAGGTGGCCGCGGAGCCTGCCACAAAGGCGGCCGCTCGGAGCAGGGCGCTGCCAGAGGTGTGAGGGATCACGGGGGAGATGTCACCAGCGAGCCCCGGGAGCGACGGGCCAAGAGGGGCCGGGGAGGACTCACGGAGCTGGCGGGCAGCGCGGCGCCCCCCGGGGCGAGCCCGGCGCGGGAGGGCAGCGCGGCTCCCGGGGAGCGGGGGCGCCCGCGGGCCGGGCCCGGGGACAGGCGTGGGGCCAGGCGAGGACAGCGGTCGGGCGGCGACAGCGGGGAAGGTGCCGGGCGGGAGGCGGGAGCCGGCGGGGAGGGAGTGAGGGAGGGCGCCCGGCCGGGGGGGAGCCGGGCGGGACGGGCGCGCACGAGGCGCCCACGCGGGCGGTCGCGCCGATACTCACTATGGGTCGTTGGTGAAGCGGGGGCTCCGCGGGGGCTGGTATCCGTACAGGTGACAGTAAAGCACATCGAAGCAGAAGCAGCACATCTCGGCCGACACCACCATCTTCCTGCAGCCGGGCCCGCCGGAGCCGGGGGAGGCGAGCAGCGAGGAGGCCGGCGGGGAGAGGCCGGCGGGGCCCCCGCCGCAGCTGGGCGGCAGCGGCGGGGACAGGGCGCAGCCGGCGGCGCCCCCCGCCAGTCCCCCGATGCCGTTCAGGCGGGGGCCCCCCGGCGGGGGCAGCGCCCCCGGCTCGCCCCCCGCCGCCGCCGCCCCGCCGCAGTGGGAGCCGCCGCCGCCGCCACCCGGGCCGGCCGAGCCCGAGGGAGGGGAGCTGGAGAGTTTCTGCTTCTTCACCCCGCAGCAACCCGCCGCCATCTTGGAGCCGTCTCCCCCCACGCAGCGCTTCCGACCCATGGCGGGGGGGCCGGCCGGCCGGCCGGGGGACGTGCGGCGGCCCGCTCCGCCTCCTGCCGCGCCCGCTTCGCCTGCACGGGGAGGGGGCGGGAGAGGGGAGGATGAATGAGGAGCGGGAGGGAGAGGAGGATTGGCGGGGGAGGGGGGGGAAAGAAGAGACAGAGAGAGCTGCGTTAGAGCGACCCGGTGAGCGGCCCCGGCGGCCAGGGCCGGGCCTGAGGGGGCAGCGCGGCCCGCAGGTGTGGCGGCCTTTCCCCTCCCCTCCACACGCCAAGCCGCCCCTCTCGCCTTCCCCCCGCGCTTTATCTCCTCCTTCTGCCAGGGAAGTGGAGCAACTCCACCTCGCGTGCTAAAAAAAAGAAAGAAAAAAATAAACCCACAAACCCGAGCTCTGCAGGCGCCGCACGGCAGGAGCAAAGCCCTTGAGATGGTTAAAAACACCCCGCTAAATAATTCAAGTGACCTGAAATGCCTTTCTCTGGGGAAGAGAAGGGGAGGGCTGTGTTGGAGCCGCCAGGCTGGGAGCCTGGAGAGAGTGCTTGGATGCAGCTGTTAAGCATGCAATCGTGATGGCTAAAAGCCACGGGCTTTATAGGCATATAGATAGATATATAAAAAATATATCTTTTTTTAATTACAGCTTTGGCAATTCCCAACCAGTAAATAGCAGCTCGGAGCATAGGCCCGTAGCTGCAGAGCCAGCAGCCATGACCCAGTGAGACCACGGCGCTGGGTGCGGGCAGCCCGGGAGGGACCGCTAGGGAAGGGAAGTCCAGAGGAAAAAGGATGTGAGTTCCTGCTGTTCTCCAGAAACCAAAAATTAAGCTTATTAAGGAGAGGAAATGTGTTTTATATTACTGTTTTACGTTAGCCTCACATATAGATGTGTCTGAATGGAGAGACTTGCAAACAGCCATAAAGTACTTAAAAATCTCGAAGTATATTTAGAAAATAACACCTCACTCGTCAGTGTTATGCAGCCATCTCCGGCATGGGATGTAACAGCTGTTTAACATAGACTAGCAACACTACAGGTTCAAGGAAGACAAGGGGGTGAGGACTGCCACACAGAGTTAAAATAATATCACAAGTTTAGAGAGACAGCTCTTACAGAAGCTGAAATGAAATATACAGAAAGATTTCAGTTTCAAACTATTTGGAGACTCGATTTTACATTTCTTGATGGAAATGGTTTCTCCGGCATCCTCATATTAATTTTGGCAGCATCTTAAATGATGTTTTTGAAATTACTAGACCTCCTATACTAATGGGTTAAAAGGCCCTTTGGAGGTTTCAGTCCAAATACTGGGTAAACTCCTCTTGCTTTGACTGTGAATCATAGCCTGAAGTAAAACAGCTGCAGGGAATAATAGCAAACAGAAATGAGAATTAGATGGTGTGAAGCAGTCTTTTCCATTTTTAAATGTAATGTTTATGTTAGGAGCTGGTGAATACTTGAGAAGGGAACCCAATTACCTTCCCAAACAATGTTCAAGTTTCTTTCAAAACAAAGATAGTGTTTTCTACTGAGGGATTCAATTGTTTAAAATCAGTTAGCAGTGACACCTTCTGTTGCTTTTGGGAAAATAGTTTCTCCAGGTATTGAATTCTGTCTTTTTCTCTTTTTTTAAACATACTATATTATTTAACACAAATATTTATAAAAATATTCAGTAATTGCAAAGGTTACAATTCAGACTGAAAGATTAATTGTTCACTCCACTGGGACAGATATTTGGAAGATTCATTGTAAGGCTCAGAGCTAGGACTGAAATCCTTATGCAATATCAAGACTACTGATAATGAATAGTGATAACTTTTTGATTAAGTATTGTATTGCAAATGGTCCCTGAATGAAAGGGTAAACTAAGGATATTACTTAATCATTAGAAAAACCTTCCTTTTTCCACTTCTGCTGATGCTCTCTGCTGTATTTGCCTATAGTTGTGCTCTTATTTTACCTCAGTGCATGTAGTGCATACCAACTGTCTAGGTAAAGACAACAACACATATACAAACACAGCTGTGGAAACTAGTGGAATCAGGAAGACAGAATTGTATTATCAAATATCTTGAAGTAGAGAGAACTACAGCCACACAAAATGTTCTTCATAGCTCAATGGAAATTTTCTATTTCTATTTGAAGGAGCATTTATTCTTTGGATAATATGGCTTTGGTTAATAGCAGCATGTGTTTCACTGGTCCTTTGCTTCAGTAAAGTATCAAAGACTTTTACATTTCTTACTACAAGAAACCTGAATGTACTTCTATGCTCTGCTAACTTTAGCAGATTCTTTCCTGTTGGTCGATGACAGTGCTGTGCCTCATGGAGTCAAGTGTCCCAAGTGAACTCTGGATGAAAAACAAACTCTTTAGCAGTACCAACAGAATGAGAATGGTTGTGCAATTAGGTCAATGCAATTTAGGAGTGATGCAGCTCTCCTTTATGACTACAGCTGTTTAGCCCTATTGCTCACCTCATGTCTAAAGCCGCAGTGATTTCACAAAAGTCACTTGTTACAAGTAGCAGATTAAAATTAATGTTTTAATTAAAAAGTGAAGCTTATTATTAAAAGAGCTGTAAGTTATTATAGTAAACACAGAATTATTTGCAGAAATATATTTCGCAGTGATCTGACACTGCTCTGAAGGATTGCCCTTCTTAAACAAAATAATCAGAATTTATAAGTATCTGGGGAAACTATATCCTGACAGACACAATCTACTTGCTTTTGAATCTGAGGTAAAATTTGCACTGACTGTAATAGAAGTCAGATTGTTTTAAGTGGGCCAAAAGATCATCTATGTTTCCCCATTATGTTTCCTACAATCTAATTAGAAGACAAATCAACCAGATCAAGGAAACAATGGGCCAAAATTTGGCTCCATCAGTAAGCAGGGGTGATATAATCCTTGCCTTATTAGTATCAATTCTTTTAATAGGCTCTGGAACAGGTGAGGGATTTAAAAGGGTACTTAAAATAGCACATTTAGGCTGTTTGGCTCCATGTGCACTTCTGCAGGAGTAGTAATGTTGGTTCAAGCAGTTTTACCTCAGCTAATTGTTCTCTTTCCTGCCCCACCCATTCTGATGTGTTCATGCAGCTGTTTGTGCAGATGTGAGGCAGAAGACCAAGTTAAAACCTTAAATTTCCATCAATTATTTTTCAGCCAAATCAATTCTCCAGTCTGGTTTATCAGAGGGCTGCACAAAAATCTGTGTTGGTCTCTTGGAGTGGCTACACAAAACTGAGAATTAGTGGCTTTGGGCAGCTGAAGCAGTGCTGGTGAAAAATTAGAAGATGCAGCCTAAAGCAGCATTTCATATATTTATGGGGAAACTGTCAGAAATCACAGAAATATTTGAATTTTAAATAATAGGGAAAGAAAATCAGTTGAGGAAAGATAAGTGGCCTTGAATAGGAAGGAAATTCATTTATGCTTGTGACTGTAGAAAAGTCAGACCAGACAATGAAGGAAAGGGAAACAGAAAGTCCTCTTTTCAAAATACAGAATATTCCACTTTCTGAGAACTGAAGAAAATATTATACTACAAATAATTCTGTAAAAATAAAATCCCTTCAAAAATTGAACTAGGTAAACAGCTAGCATGTCTATGGAGTTGTAACTATTCTAGAGAAAAGTCTGTATGTACATCTTCCAAAATTAAATTCTATCTTTCTATCTTCCCATCCTAATGAGCTTTTTTTGGATGGGCCTGCCATAAAACTGAAAGATTTACATGCTAAAAATTCCTTTGGTCTGAGGAGTTTCCACCCATTGTAGAGCCACTGTAGGCAACTCTTCCCTTGCTCTGCAGCCTACGAGGCATCAAGGGTGTAGCTGGAAAGAAAGTGGGTTTGCTTGTATTACTTTCTCACATTATTCCCAAACTGGTCTATCACACTCTTGAGGCTCATGTGAGTTTTCCTCAGTATATTCTGCTTAGACAGAATCGTTTCTGTTCTTCACTTACACTCAGTGTCTCAGTTGTCCCCAGGAGAAATTAGATGCAGCCCTGAATCTAGGCCAGAAAGTGTGCACAAAATCTAACAAAGCTAATGAAAGTTAACTTGCACATGTCTGAGAACAGCAATTGTTCCTACCATTTAGAGGCCATATCCTGCTATTGTTCCATATATCAAACCCCTATTGAAGTTTCTGCTAAAAAATCTTGTACAAAAAATCATCTCCGGATGTGATAACAGCCAGCAGACAAAAGGTCCTCACATGTTTTTTTACTGGAATCCTGGTCCTGTGTCATATTTTGTTATAATTTTACAGTACTGTGAATCCAATCTGTATTATTTTAAAATTCACATTGTTTTACAAGCATTTTTCACTCCAATGTGAATTTAAAGTTTGGTCCTGTTAAACCATCTGAGCTTGCACTGTAAAACTGGGCATTAGTTCGGGCATTAAAAAACCCCACAACAAAACAAACAAACGCCCCACCAAATAAACCCTCCAAAGCAAGCAAGTAAAGCAAACAATAACCATGCATTCTAAAATGTTATTTGTCAAAGTAAATAATCTAGGACTGAACAGTTTCTGAAGTAGAGATAAAAGCATTAAGTGTGTCTATGGAGTCAGAAAAATTATTTAATTAAAAACCTAAAGTTCAAAGCACTTGTAATAAATGGAAGGTGAGACTAGTAGTAACTTTTTAATGGAATTCTTTTCAACTAATTCTGTGAGCTGCAATGTTCCTCAAATATTATGTTAATACCATATCCTATCCTTTTCAATGTATTTTTCCATTGTACAGTGATAAAAGGAGATGTAGCTTATGTAGCTGTATTCTCAATATGAATTCACTGTGGCTGCATTGAGGTCAGTGAAGCTACAGTGATTTATGCTAGCTGATACATTAATAATAAGCCTTAGGATATATTTTTTGACATGGCTGTTTGTAGTTAGTCTCCTTCACAAAATGTTTGCCACTGCTGTGGAGAACCTTTTGTATTAATAGCATTTCTCAATTCTGAAGAGTGAGAGCTTTAAGAGTTGTAAGTTAATTACAACTATTAATATCAATGTCTGTTTATCCAGTGCAGTTATACAGATACCACTAATGAACCTCAGCAACAGTCAAATAGGACACAACAATTGAGGTGTATTAGGAAAAATATAATCATTAATATTCAAGTGTATGAGTGGATTAGGAAGATAAAATGCATGGTGATGGTATGCTAAGAATTAAAAATCTGATCAGGATTCCACAATTACAAGCCTGCTTATTCCTTTAGCCATCCCAAGGGACCAGCACTTGATTTTGTATCTCATGTAAAAATACCAATATGAAACTTTAATTTAAATTTAGTTAATGCAAGGAGCAGTAATTTCAGAAAAGAGGTGAATGTTAACAATACTAATTTATTATTAATGATGTTAATTGATAAGGATGACAGAAATGCTCCAGTGTAAGGAAACCAACAGGCATAAATTCTCATCTTCCTTTTGATGCGAGAATGTGTTGAGCTTCCTTTTTCAGGTGTTATTTAATTTTCTTGTGAAATGATTTGATTTCTTCTGGCTGCTGCTTTTGCTATCTTTTTGCACATGTTATCCAGCTTTTGGTGTTAAGGAATTCCATCTCCATTCCTCTAATGTCCAGTTCTTAGCTCAGGTTCATGCTCCCTTGCTCTGGTATTTTACACTGTTCAGATAGCATTGAAGCTGACATCTCTCTTCCTTTCAAAGAAATGAGATATACTGTTCTTTTCTCCAGAGACTGAAGAACTTTTTTCTTTAATCTTTGTGAGCAGTGAAAACTCAGCAAATCCTTCTGCTGCCCTTTATCATTCTCAGTTCTATAAAAGAATCTGTAAATCTTAAGATGGCCAAGGACTGCTTCCACTGTTCCAGGTGGAAACATCCAGTCACTTGATATTGGATGGGTTTAGTTTTTCCTAGTGTAACATTTTGGCTATTGTTTTGAAAGTGTGTTCATTAGTAGACTATTGCAGCTTCTAAAAATATGCAAGCAGGGCACTCAAGTATTTTTCCATCTTTGTTATTGTAACACATTACTGTTTATCAACTGTATTTTTTTTCCTTTCTCCCTAGAAGTATCAGCCTTTTTTATATTCAATGCCTAAATTACTCACCCTTATATCTTCAAGTGCTTCTGATCTGTACCTGTCACCCTGAATGATATGTTGATCCTCCTTTCTGTGACTGGTTTGATAAAATCACCACTTATGTCACTTTGTTGCACTTCTCTCTTTTTCTGTGCAAAGTAAAAACTGACAAATGCCAGTGTTTTGCCATAAAGGTGCTGGTCCTTCAGCACTATGAACTGCTAAAATCACTAAATATATTGTCTTAAAAGAGACTTGCTGTAAATGGAGTGTTAGTTAGGAGCAGCTGTTACCCTCGGTGGCAAAAAGCCAGCAGGGTTCTGGAAAAGCCCTTGTCATTGCAGTTGTTCCTTTCCTCACCGGCACCTCGTGAGGGCAGCCCCAGCGTGGCTCAGGCTCAGCCTCACCCCTATCTGCTTTCACTTACTCAGTCCTGCAAATTCTTCTTTTCTTTCAAGGAAAAGCTGAACAACTCATGAGCCCCAAATCCTAACTCTTGTATCTTTATGGAGGGGACTAGCAGTCCTGAACCCCAACTTCTGCAAGTTTCTGAATAAAATTGGATCTGTTGGAACTGGTAGAATTCAGTGCCTGACTTATTCATTACATTTTCCTTAGTTTTATTGCTTCCTTTCTGTAGAATTCATGCTCTCCAACATATTTTCTCATTTCTTTCTGTTACAAAAGTCAGTTCTCCTTTCAGACATGTATAAATCAAATTACTCCAGTGAGGTAAATAGAATTTCACTGTTACAGAATGATGAGTTCAAACCCAGGCCTTTTAAACTGGTAGGTCCCCTTGTAAATTGATGAATGATTTGTCAGTTTCTAGGTCTCCTGAGCTATCCTCTGTTTTCAAGGAAAGTGATATTTTCCTAGATCAATAGCTATCCCCACAAAACTTTATGTCTTCCCATTTTTCTTATCTCCCACATTTGTATTCTCACTCTAGGGAAAGGCCTTCAGGCTGCCTGCTGGTGGTGATAATTCCTGTCATAGTTGTTTAATGTATAAAATAAACACATTGCATTAATTTTGAATAAAAAGCAGTTGGTAAACATGCAAGCTTCAAAAGTGTTACCTCTCTTGTGCACTTTTCCTTTCATTCACTAATTCTGATATTCCTTTTTCACATTATCCATATAACTCAGTCTGCCATTACACAAGTAAAAGTAGACCTTTTCTTTTTTAACATGATCATTATTTAAATGAAGTAAAACATATTTTAGAAGATAAATATAAATACTATTTCTTAAACTGTGAAGGAAGTCATAGCATTCAGGAAGCATTGTTGCTCATTATGTTTCCTGCTAACTATTATAAAAGGTGAAGTTACAGTTTTTAACATTGGAAATATCTGTGATGATCAAGACCTGTGTCTGAGCTTTGATTTGCATGTTTGTTTTTCTCAGTGGTTTCTTCATAGTTAATACTCTAATAATCTACTGACTGCCAAAGATTGCACAATAATAACATATTTTGATTTAAAGACCATACATATTATTTGAGGAAACTATTATTTCCATTCCTAATACCAAAAAACATATCCTTGTTACTTCAAGTGAAATAAAAGGGCCATCTCTCATTGTGTATTTTAGAGTAAATGTATAAGTTTTTTGATCTACAGGCTCCAGTTATAAATGAGATTCTGGGTTTATTACCATCTCCCTTGAAACTGCATTTCAATAATAATTAATTTGTTTTGATTAGCATTTCTGAAGAGCATTTCAAGATTGGAAGTATCCCTGTGACACAGTTCTTGAGAATCATAGCATAGCATGTCAGATCTAAGGCACTGAAATATTTCAGGGCTATCTGTACATGGGGTAGGTCCTTCCAGCTAATGCTCCATTTAGATTAGGGATATAGAAGAAATTTGAAAATAATTTAATAAAAAGTCCTATTGTTTAAAAAGTCCTAGTGTTTAACTCTTAAAAAAAATCACATAAGAATTTGAATTCTCTGTTTTTCTATTGCTTACTTTGTGGTTGTTTTCACAGATCAAAGTCCAGCTGTCCAGTGTCATCACATTCAGATTCTGCCATGACCTGTAAGTCTCTCACCTCTAAATTTTCTATTGCAATAGAACAGTGGCTTGAAAACTGTTGTGGAATACTGAAATATGTCTTTCATTGAACTATCATTAAACAATAAATGTTGGATATGGCTTGTCTTGTTATGCTAAATCCATGTAGTTCAAACATGCACACTTATAATGCATCTGCTTTTTAAAATACTAGTTTATGATAATCTCATTAATTGCATTTTAAATGGAAGGTTCACAGCTTATCAAATCTACTGCTGTTTCTAGAGGTACCCTTACTCTAAAACTAGTTCTCTTTCTAGTTAAATCAGAATGAAATGAAAGTTATCAAAGGAAAATATTACATTTGCCCTTTGATGAACAATTACCAAGCATTACACGCTCAAAGTAAAAAATGGATAACATTTTATTTTATGAGTCCACTAACTAATAGTGAATTAGAATAAAACTCCCGTGGGAACACATTTGACATTCACATGAATAACAAATGAGTTCGTTATGATCCCCTGCTTATAAAAAAATGGGAAATGAATTCATAATTATTAAGCATTTAAAAGTAACATTCCCCCAAAAGATAAAACCTTGTATTAAGTACCCAGCTGTGGTTCAGCTGCAGGGCTTTAAAGAACCTGAAATGAAGTGGTACCAGAAATGATTTGGTCATTTGCCACATTGTTTAACTACTTGGTTGCCAAAATAATGAAGATTTGAAAGCTAGTTAATGCCTTTGAATTAATTCTGAAAGTTTGAGATTAATCTTGCTTCCAAAGCAGAGAATACAGATTAGATACATGGTGCATGAAAGGATTATGCTGGGTCTATGTATAAAGAGGAGGATTACAGCACATATGGCTACTGACATGTACTCATGTTGTAAGTGCCTGTGGGCATCTCATTTGAAATATGTGTTAGAGTTGAATTTTGTTGGAGTTTTTTGTTGATATATATGTGGTTTTATATATGATAAATACCATTCAGGACAGTTATTTTGCTAGAAGTGACATTCTCAAATACTTTCCAGGCTGTCACATTAGCATACAGCTCACAGCCAGGCAGGAAACAGCTCTTCCATGAATGGAACCTCTGCCCTATGATGACACTAATAGCACAGGATCCCAAAGGTTGCCTTGTCTGCCAGGCAGAGAGGGAAATGAAAGATTCTGAGAACAAAGTCAAGAGAACAGCAAAGAACTTGCAGGGGAAGAGAAGGAGATAAGTAAAATCCTTTTCTTTGTACTACCTGCACCAAGGACATAAACAGAAAAGGATGAGAAGTAGACCAAGTTAAGACTGTTCTAAGTGCTGTCAGCACAGAGAGATGCAAAATTCTTGTGGCCCCAAATCTTACATAGATCTAAATAACATTGATGGAGTGAAGAAGATAGTTATCTTCTGTATAAATATTGACCTCATGGGTAGCCCTCCTTGGTTATCCAAGGAGTAGAGAAATAATGCCATATGAGACATATTAACACCATGACTATAATGCCATATTTCTTTTCCCAGTATAGAGGTAAGGAAAGGTATGAAAGACCTTGTGTACATGCAGATTTTAAAGTAACATTGCTCCCACATTTTCCCAAGCTCCCTTCTCCTTAGCAACAGCCAAGTCTCTAACACAATTGTGTTGCCATTGACTATGTTGTCATGCTGATCAGGAGGGGAAAAAAGCCACATCAGATGTGCTCATATTTTATTTCACTCAGAAGTCTGAAGCTGCAGTCTGCCTTTAGGGGGACTCCATGAGAGACCTAGGCTGTGAGCTTGAGAAAAAGTGCTGTAAAACCAAAAAGTGCAGAGCAGGGAGGAAGCAGGGAAGGAAGGGTCTCAGGATTGTGGAGGGTGAGTGACATGCTGCAGAGTCATGAAAATGGTAATGAAGACTAGAAATATATTAACCATAACAGAATTCTGTAAGATAATCATATACTTTTCTAGTCCAATTATTTAGTTGTTACTACTAGGGAAAAATTAATCAAAATATCAGAAAAGCCATTTGTACTATACTAAGCTTGTGGAAAAATGTGGGCAATTATTTGACAAACTGTTAAATGAAGATAAAATTATGTCCTTCTGCTTTGGAACAAGAATTACCAGATCAGCTTTAGAAATTGCATCGCTGCCAATGGATGAATATGCATTGCTGAATTACATTTCTTTTCATTTTAAAAATCTTGGTTCTGTCTGATTTAACTTCTGATTTGATCAGTGTGGATAGAGTTTGGATGGATGTCCAGACAATAGGGCTGAGCTGATGCTTCAGAGGGAGGTGAGAAATACCCAGCCTAAATCCAATAGATAAAAACAAAATGTTTATCAGAGAAACTAATTGTGCATCAGGGAGACTAACTCCTTCCTGAGCCCTGTGAACTGCTGTGTGAAGAATGTACTTTGATTAGGATTATTGCCTTAATGCAGACCTTCAATTCTTATGGGCCTCAGGAGGGCAATGCAGGAAAGCTGTTCTGTGATGTATGAAGTGAGGGGTATGAACTCTTGCATTCATACAGTCACATCATACATGAGCCTACATTTCAAGGAATTGGGAGATAATTAAGGAGATAAACCATGGCTGCTAATTATGCTACATGCAACTCTTTTTCCTTGAGAGATAAATCCAAGTTTGGAGATTTGTTTGAGGGTTTTTTGTTTGGTGGGTTTGTTCTGGCTTTTTTCCAAGCTGATACATTATGAATCTATTGCTTATAAAACTTTTAAAGTTTCTATTTTAAAACATTTAACATCTATCAGAAAGATAGTTATTTGTTTATACAGCCTTTAATATTATAATGTATCTATGGTTGCCAATATTTGAGGTAATCATTATTATAAACAAGGGCACAATAAGAGAAATGCTGTGATAGTTCTCCAAATGATGAAAAGGGAAAGTGTATGTACTTTTTATTTATAAAAATCAGATTGCATTATCTTACTGTAGCCACTTTAAGGTAAGACAGTTTGCTTTCAAAATGTTGGATAAATCACACAAGTCAGTATCACATCATGACTCCTCTGACCATATGCTCCTTCACAAGGCCCCTGCTGGTCGTCATCCAACATCAGTGTGCAAAAAATTGGCATGACATACCTTATCAGGTAGGTTTCTGTACGTTACCATCACATTAGATTGCACCTAAGTTATTCCAATGTTTGCTTGTAATTTGCTAGGTGAAACAGGGTGGTCTGTTGCACCACCCTTCTGTGGAAAAAGGGAATTCACGAAGTAGAAAGCTGTAAAATTTGATACTTCTTTCACATCAGAGAACTGTGGTCACTAGGATTCCTTTTGGAAAATTAAGAAAGGAAAAGTGGTAGAAAGAATTGGTTCTTGTAATGGGTGAGTCCTGACTAAGATAATCAGAGGAACAGCCATCTCTGAGAAGAAAGGGAAAATCCATACAAGATTATTTTTAAAAGAAACAGGTACAGTTGTGAGGAGATATGAATAATTTATAAAGATTAAAGTCTAGGCTTCAGAATGTACTTACAATAAGACAAGTCTTAATCTGAATCCCCTCAATTTGTGGTATGGTGTCTTACAGCAGATAGCAAAACATGCTTGTTCTAAATCTTATGAAACAATAATTATAGTAAGTAAATGCAATTGGCAGTGGTTGAAATACTAATAACACACTGCATTTCAAACATTTGTTTAAAGTGACCTCAGCCTGTTATTCTACTGCTAGAGACAAACCTCACTCAAATTGCATTTTTCTACTGCTGAAATGTTCTGACATTTCATTTTGGTACCAAAATTGGGAGTAATTGCTAATAATTTATTCACCAGAAGGTTTGCTATTATCAGCTTTGTTTAAGTCAGATGGAGATTAAAAAATAGTTCTCTTTCTTGCAAACTGCTGGGCAAATTTCATCTGCTTTATTAGATGTCATTATCTTGTAAGAATTACATGAGATTCTTCTTATAACAGAAAAAAATAACCAAATATAATATGGGATTTGTAGGAATTTTTTGATTTTAATTGGCAGAGCCTTATTTATATCTATTATATCTGTAACATACTATAAGCTTTCTGTTCCACTTTCAAGTAATGTTGATATAAACATTCATGCCAAGAAAGGAATAAAGCTTGTGAGTATAATATATATATATTCTGTATATTTAGCAGAAAACTTGTAAGGAATTTTTAAATTTATTTTTAATTTTGCATTAACCCATGCAGTGCTTTTGGCTGCTCTGATTCATAATATTGAGAACTGAGAGACAGGTTTATTAGGAAAACACATATATCCACTGTATCTCTGCACTGTATTAAATAATGTAAGATCACTTCTTAGCTCTTGTGAAGGTGTGCTGTTTGAAATTTTAAAGAGATTGAAGTATGTGAGTAGCTCTAAGCTATTCCTTTTAGCTACTATTTTGATAATTATCTTTTCTTTATAACGTATCTCACTGATCCTCAGTTTTACTTGTTTCAAAGGATGGGGGGGTGTCTCTTAAAATGTGATATTTCTACTTAGAAAAATTAAAAGAATAAAAAAGATAAATAGCTGCACATTGAAAAGTTCAAGTCACTTGCTGGCCTCTGGATGGAACTCCTTCCTTGTGCACAGCATTGTCCTTTTTCAGTGCTAGGAAATGTACAATACACTACTTGTAGCCACAACAGAAAAGATACAGAGGATCCAATTAGCTTCTTTCCCTGTGTAATTTAGGAGTTACATTCATTAGGTGATTAAAATTCAGATAGATCCATAATTACATTTATTAACATACAAATTCATTTACATTTCTTATTTTTAACCTGCACATTGCTGCTTGATCACCAGTGGTAGAAGAAAATGTAGTTATATGTTAGTTTATAATGAATTTGTTCTTGCTGGTAAGCACTGGAAATGTGATGCAATGTTTTAATTTCAAACACTGCAAGAGAATTTTAAAATCCAAGTAATTTATTTATTATAGCAAGCGTCCTGGAAACATTTGCTTTAATTTTTTATTCTAAAAAGTAGCATTTATTTATTCAAAATTTTTACTGATTTTCCTT